CATACCACTAATTAAACATACTAAGATGAGGCTTAAACCACAAATATGTATATAAAAACAATGGATATACCTGGAAAAAGAATCTGGCAGAATGAAGAGATGGAAAGATGGGAGAAAGAAGACTTATTGTGTACTTTTATAGAGTTTTGTAATGTAAAGAATAGGAAAAGGTTGTGGCAGAAAATTATATAAACATTGATCAACAATAACAAAGAAAATTATGATTAAAAACGTTTTTGGATTGTATTTAAGGAGATTGTGATTATTCATCTTCAATCTTAATTATATTGAATTTAGTGTAAAACAGTAAGTGTTGTTGGAATGAGTTTAACGGCAAAAACTAAAAGGATAAATAATTAAAGCTCAATAAAAGATACTCCCTCTGTCCCCAATTTATATGACTTACTTCCTTTTTAGTCAGTCCCAAAAAGAATGACACATTTCTATTTTAAGTAACAATTTGCCTATAAAATGTCTTTTTTACCCTTAATGAAATGATTTTACAACCACACAAATTTCTATCATTCATTTTGGACCACAAATTTTAAAAGTCTTTTCATTTTTCTTAAAGTTTGTGCCAAATCAAAGTACATCATATAAAATGGGACGGAGGGAGTAGAAAACTGTTGAGCTATCATTATTTTATTTAATTTAAGAAGTTTGTAAAAGACATTTTTAATTTTAAAGATTAGTGAAGGACATTTTCGTAATTCAACTTTGAACTAAAAACCTTCCCACTTTTAATATAATATGATTTATGAACCTCTAACAAAATTAATTGAACTCAATGATAGGGACATTGAAAATATTTTTCATGGATTCCAACCCCACTATCAACAAAAAAAAATTCTCTTTGATCAAATATTAATATCAACACTTGTGATAATAAGTTGCTGGAATAGTAAATACCTCACCTTCAACCTTAAGTTTCGGTAAGAGTTCGAGCCAGGGAGCAAAAAAGTGGGAGTTGGGAGAGAGTGAGGTAGCTGGAAGTGTTTGTACATAACCATTCTGGTTCAAACACAAGTTTTTTTGCTCATTTCAGCTATCAATTCGCCTTAGTAGATGTTGAATGTTACAGTATCTTCAAATCCCGCTACTCTAACACAAAAATTCATCACCTTTCTTGAAAAATGCAAATCAATTTCAGAGTTCAAGAAACTCCATGCTTTGTTAATAACCTGTGGCATTTCCAAGGAAACTCAATTCAGTTCAAGAATCCTCTGTTTCACAGCATTATCTGATTCCTCCAATATAGACTATGCTCATCGTGTTTTTCTACAAATTAAAAACCCAACAATCTTTGATTACAATGCTCTTATAAGGGGTTATTCTAACAGCAAAAACCCATGTAAATCTTTGTCTTTATTTGTTGAAATGTTGCAAAATGAGGTTTTTCCGAACTATTTTACGTACCCTTTTGTTGTTAAGTGTTTAGCTAAGTTGTGTGAGGTTAGAATTGGTAGGAGTGTTCATGGAGGGGTTTTGAAAAATGGGTTTGATGTGGATTTGTATGTTTCGAATTCGTTGATTCATATGTATGGTTCTTGTGGTGATGTTTTGTGTGCGAGGAAGGTGTTTGATGAAATGCCTGTGAAGAATTTGGTGTCGTGGAATTCGATGTTGGATGGGTATGGGAAATGTGGGGATGTTGTTTTGATGAGGGAGGTGTTTGATTCGATGATTGAGAGGGATGTTGTGTCGTGGAGCTCTTTGATTGATGGGTATGTTAAGGATGGAGAATATGCTGAGGCGTTGGCGATGTTTGAGAAAATGAGAGTGGAAGGGCCAAAAGCGAATGAGGTGACCATGGTGAGTGTTTTGGGTGCTTGTGCTCACTTGGGTGCGCTTGAGCAAGGGAGGGTAATGCATGAGTACGTGGTTGAGAATAAGTTGCCTATGACTTTAGTGTTGAGGACGTCGCTTGTTGATATGTATGCTAAGTGTGGTGCAGTAGAGGAGGCATTAGTTGTGTTTCGAGAGGCTTTAGGGAGAAAAACCGATGTCTTGATTTGGAATGCCATGATTGGAGGTTTGGCAACACATGGCCTGGTTACTGAGTCTTTGGAGTTGTACAAGGAAATGTGCATTTTAAAGGTGAGACCAGATGAGATTACGTACTTGTGTCTTTTATGCGCTTGTGCTCATGGAGGATTAGTTAAGGAGGCTTGGTGTTTCTTTGATTCTCTTGGTAAAGATGGAACGACAGCAAAGTGTGAGCATTATGCCTGCATGATGGATGTACTAGCACGTGCAGGTCGTTTAACAGAAGCCTACAGGTTTCTATGTGAAATGCCTATGGAACCGACTGCTTCCATGTTAGGTGCACTACTTAGTGGCTGCATCAACCATGGAAGGTTGGATCTTGCAGAAATAGTAGGGAAAAAGCTTATCGACTTGGAGCCATTTCATGATGGTAGATATGTTGGGTTATCTAATGTATATGCACTTAAAAAGCGTTGGGATGAAGCAAAAGCCATGAGAGAAGCTATGGATACTCGGGGAGTGAAGAAATTGCCTGGTTTCAGTGTTGTGGAGATCTTTGGGGCTCTTCACAGATTCATAGCACATGATAAAGCACACCCTGAATCGGATCAAATCTACACGATTCTAGATTTTGTTTTGTGGCAAATGAAGCTTGGTAGAGATTGTGAAGAGCAAGAACAATTGTTATGTGATATCAATGTAGGAATTGGTAATGGAGATGATAGCAGTGCCTTGCAGATGAATGATTTTTCGCTATAAGATCAAGATCACACAGTTCGTTTTGAGCAGTATAGGGCGGAGAGCCACCTATCGGTGCTATGATACATTATTGTACTACTCAGATTGCAGTGAATCTTCCTAACCATACGTTGAGGGTGGCTTAGAGAGCCCAGTAAACTCATTACTATCTCGTAAGTGCATTTTGCTAGAAGGAACTACTATGAAGCAAAGTAAATATGTACACATTTGAAATAAGGAAGCACATTCTTGTATACCAATAATGAGTTTTGCAAAGTGATCTAACTCTTTGTTATCGTCTCCTTTTGCAGGTCGTGACTGAAACAGGCTAACAGATTGAAAATCAAGATTCACAGCATACGCCAAACTTCCATTGCCATTGCAATGCACGTGTAGGCGTAGCTCACTCTATACATTTGATATTGACCCCTATTGATGTATCTATCTTGATTGAATACGATTGTTGCAGTCACAGAAATTTGGGACGGAATTCCTTGAAGAAATCTCAAACTTGAAGTAAAGTCCTGCTCATTTCGAAAGCTGAACCTTCTCCAACTTGCAAATGTGAATGCCTACAGATATCAAAATCCTTGACTATGTATTGGTATTGGTTTGAAATAATGTGCTTGTCATTTACTATGAGACACTATCTGATGTACAATTATAATACAGAACTAAAAGGTTTACAGGGAGACCTCATATTGGAGTTGATGAAGGTATATTATTGGAATAATCAGAAATGGTAGCATTGATCTTTTGAGTAATCATTCTCCAAGTGTGTTACCTGTGGTCTTGTCCAAATTACCAAAACACGAAACTTGTACAGTTGATCGAATGACATATTTGCTCAATTTCACATACTTTAACAGCATATTTGACCTTTTTTCACTTATTATCTGATAGGGTTATTTGGTGGTTGTCATTTAAATAAAGCACAAATTTGGACCAAATATTGGCCTTTAAGGGCATATTTGACCCTTTTCCAGAAAATGTGGCTGATGATGGTGATTGTGATTGTACAGTTACGATTGGTGGTGATTGTGCAACAATGACCAAAGATGAATGTTGTTCAGTTGCGGCAAGCAACAGTGACTGATGCTAGAGGTGGGTGGTCGTAGGTGGTGATGGTGGTGAACTGTGGTGGTTGTGGGGTAGAGATCCATGGTGAATATGGTTGCTGATGGTGGTGGTTAAACAAGATGAAGAACAAATGAAACTAATGAAGAAAGTAAACAAAATGCCAAGGAAACAGAAAATAATAATACTCTTTCCATTTCAATTGGTTAATCTTACTTTCCTTTTTAATCCATTTTAACCACAAGATTCAAAAGTCTTCTTTTTACTTTTTTAAACTCCGTATCAAATTCAAATCAGACAAACAAATTGAAATGGAGAGAGTATGAGAAAAGAGAAATGTAGGAAAACAGTTTTTTTAAAAGGAACACAAGAATTCATTGAAAATTTTCAATTCTGCCAGAGATCAAGGTAGCAGTCATTAGCAAATCCAGAAATGACTCAAATGAGTAGGTACAATTAGAAGGTTGAAATTCATCAAACACTATCCTTGGGAGCTGCAGGTGAGAGAGCCTTTCTTATTCCTCCAAAATAAGATATCACACATATTTGCCCATCAACACAAGAAGATCAACCAGATCTCATCAGGATAGCTTAAACGACAACGAAAGATAGAGGAGGTTCTATAGTTGAGACTCCAGTTATCAAAACTTGTCCCAAATCACCATACACCTCCTAAACAAGCTGTAAGCATAGCTTCTAGATCTTATGAAAGACCCCTCTTTTGTCAGAAATAGGTTCATCGTAGTTGCGCTTCATCAACCTGTAGTGGCGATTTCATTTAACAATGCAAAGCCAACAAATGAAAGTTACAACAAAAAAGCTTCCTCAAAATTGCAAGGAAGAGAAACCAAGTGTATCTAATTATGCTGCCACATACCGTTATTTCATACAATATTGGCCTGAGATGAGCTTATAAGGAGTGACATGGTCAGTGAGGATTCATATAGCCGACTCAACTTGTTTGGCGCTGACGCGTTGCAGTTGTTGTAGAATACTTTTCTCTGTATCAAGCAGGTCCTGCTGTAGTATGTTTGTCTTACCATGAGAGGGATGCATCTCTCTTCCAATAAACGTTTTAGCGCCTGATGCTTCATGTTTGCAGATCGCTGCTGCAATTTTTGCCAACATTATCCAGAAATCTATAGAAACAGGAAACTATCATTCTGAATGCAGACAATTTCATAAATTGGCATTCTGCAGTACCAACTACAACCTTTCCGTTGTTAAGAATTCCAGAATCATTTTCATTTTTTGGCAAGTCAATTTCATTCATGAACAAAAACCATTGAGAAAAATGTGTCATACGACTCAAACTCATTCAGCCAAAGTCATCTATCAATGTTGTCCAGTTATTAATAACTTTTTTTCTGTTTGCTACTATTTCCATGATCTTCTATGCATACTCTGTCACAAGCTTCATCCATCACAAACACAAAACAGATATCTATGAAGGCAATATAGACTTTATAGGTAATATGGACCACTGAAATATTTTGGTGTTGCATAAAAACTACATCATCTGTATTGTGCTTGAAAAATGTAATGTGTGTGTGCATATGAGATGAAACACAAAATGCACTTGGATACCAGAGACAGGATGAAATTGTAATGCATACGGAGTTGTACCTGAGATGCGCAGATGCCTTAACGGACTTAGTGACTGGTCCCACATACAGCCACCACGCTTCTTTGCTACTTACTAGAGTTCACACATCAATTCTCCTCAACATACAAAGTCCCCTCAAGCTTTTCAACCAAATCTAATCATTCTTGAAACATTTAATAAAACAAATTGAGGTCACAATAGAAAGAGTTACTTAGACAACGAGCAGAAAGCCGCAAGACACATACTCCTCAGCGTGTTGCCATTATATCAAATGTAGGGTCTAGCAATTTTCATTGACGATGAAATAATGAGTAGGAACTAGCCAGTACACCAAAACCAGCAAAGCGTAGAGCTCGACACTTGATGCTCTTCAATTCCTAACTTTCGTTCTTAATCCTATGCAACTATAGATGACAGATGAGGTCAAGACATCTAATATATCTTATCATGTCATCCAATTTCATTGACATTACAGAGTGCTGCAAGGTGACCCTCCTCCAACAGGATTTTTAAATTTGAGGACGTCCTTGGATCGGCTGACAGGGAAAGTATTGCCTCTTTGAGAATAGGACGACTCTTACTATTTAAATCTCGAAGAGACTCATCATGGACCACCTTTTGTAGTAGGTCACAAGCTTCATTAGGATTCATATTTTTTATAAAAGCATCTATTAGCACTATGTAGATCGATGGATCGGGTTTCATATCCTTCCTCTCCATTTCCTGCAGATAAATCAGAGCATCATCTGGCTTCCGACACTTGCACAGACCACTAATGAGAGCCATAAAAGTTATTCTATTTGGAGAGCACCCATTTGCCTCCATTTTGACCAAAAGACTAATAGCATCACTTGGTTTGCCGGCATTGCATAACCCATCTATTAAAGTGGTGTAAGTGATAACATTGGGCTCCCGTTCTTTTACATTCATCCTAGTGAGATATGCGATTGCCCGATCTACATCACCATTTTTGCACCACCCATCAATCAGTGAGTTGTAGGTAACAACTGATGGAATAAGCCCCTTATCCATCATTTCATCAAGAAGATTCTGGGCTTCAAGTACCCTTTTGGCCTTACAAAGCCCATTAATCATAATGTTATAAGCAACCACATCAGGGCAATAACCCCGAGAACAGATCCCTCTGAAAAGATTCAGTGCTTCATCCAACTGTTTAATCTTAACAAGGCCGTCTATGACTGCCGAATAACCAACTACATCAGGGAGAAATCCTTCTTGAACCATGTCAGCAAGAAAGTTAGAAGCTTTGACTACTTGCCCATCTTTGCAGAGTTTCTTCATGAGCAGTGTGTAATATTTTATCCAAGGTTGATGGCCATGCACACGCATCTCCCTCACCACAGCAAGGGCGCCTGCATCATCCCCTTGCCTACATAAGCATCCAAAAATTGAGTTGTATGTGTAATGTGTTGGCAGAAATCCTGACTGTTTCATCTCATCCAAAAGCTCATAACACTCATTGAGTCTGCTGGCCCTACTCAAGGAATCAATTAAATTATTGTAAAGTAGCACACTGCGTTTACAACCAATATGGTCCATATCTCTAAACAGGTTGAGAGCAATTTCCAACCTATCCGCACGACACAAACCATCAATAACTATTTCAAAAGAAATGGTATTAGGACAAGCAAGTTCCTTCATGGGGAAAAGATTGTCCTCATTAAAATCACCACCGGAGTCGAGACACGTTGATGCAGAAAGTAGACGATATGCTTTATCAGTTGAACCATTGTTAATAAGTCCTTTCAGCACAGAATTATACAACAACATCCTAGCTTTCAGATCCAGACTCTCATACCTCCCCTCAACTATCCGGATCATGTCTCTTTCCTCACGCACACAAGACATAAGGTCACTAAGTATTTTAATATCAGGATGGACTCCTGAAACATTCATATCCTCGTACAGCTGCATAGCTTTCTCAATCTCCTTATTCCTAGACAACTCTTCTATTAGCACGCCATAAACAGAAATGTCCAGCACAAAACCCAATTTCTTCATTTTATCCAACAGTTGCAACGCTTTATCTGTTTTACCTTCCCTCACAAAACCATGAATCAAAACAAAACATGTCTTCTCATTTAAGCTAATGTTAAGATCTTCTATCCTCTCAACCAACTCAAATGCCTTATCCACCTTACCCCACTTACTAAAAGAAACCAACAAGATCGACAAAACATGTGCATCGACCAATCCCTTTACGTGCATCTCATTAAACACAACCAACGCATTTTCAAAATTCCCCACATTACAGTAACACTGCAAAACTGGTGTGTAAGCATACTTATCTAGCTCCCACCCATAGCTACACATCTCCTTCAATCTCAGCTCAATTAAACCAACATCACCAGCCTTAGATACAGCATCTAACAAACAATTATAAGTAAAACAATTCGGAACACAAAGACCTGATTTTTTCATCTGATCAAACAACTCATTAGCCTCCTTAACCAACCCTTGATTACCCAAACACCTTATAAAGAAACCCAAACCACGAGGCGTAAAATAACACTGAAATCTAACTACATCATTAACCAACACTCTCATTGAGTCAATCTGTCGAGCACCTGATAAGCACTCTGCCATCAAGTTAAAAGTATGACAATTATGTCGGTACCCTTTTAAATTCGAAGCCCAATTAAAAAACAAATGAGCTATTCTCCAATTTCTAAGCTTTCTAAGAACAAATTCAACAATAAAAGTAGTAATATTTGAACCCAACTCATCAAGTTCTTGGCTTTTTGATGAATCACGAGGCTTAGTAAAGATGTGAACAAGTCTATCAGCGATTCTTGAATCGTCTGAAGAAATTGGGGGAAGGGGACTTGGAGGTTTTGGGCAAGTGGGTGTTGAAGAAAATGGAGAAAGATTGTGTTTTGTAAAAGGGGTTTGAATCAGAATGTTGTGGTGAGTCCATATGTTGAGGAGTTGTTTGAATGAATTGGAGAAAAGCAAATTGGGTCTTCTGATTCTACACAGAGCAGCCATTGATGTATTTTTGGGGAAGAGTGGTGAGTATTTAAGTGTGTAATGGGAGTGTTACTCCATTGTCCAAATTTCTTGGAACAAGAAAGTGTGATTGGTAAAATTGGAGAGCTTTAAAGGCTCATAGGCTTGGTTAAGAGAAGAGAAAATGATAAAAATGGACTTCTAATGTTTCAAAGTTTTTTTTTTTCGTTTTTCGTGCCTAACATGCTTTCTAACAAAAGTGACTCCTAATTTGGGAGCTTAAATCCGAAACATTCTGAAATCTCTGGTTAACTAGGAGATTCGAATCTAGAATATTTTGAAAACTCTGATTAAAGATGAAAAAGTACTTACCACTCCATTGCAACAAGAATTTGACTACCAAAAACTTTAATGTATGTATCACAATTTCAAACGATAAAGCTTGATTTTAATTATTTTATAATTTTTTCTCAAATAAATCACCACAACATTTGTTGGTAACATTTATGTTTCAAGTTTTAGTATGCACTATCGCATTTAAATTTGTCAAAACTATTAAAATCAAAGTATATCAACATTTGTTTATGAAATTTACACAAAATTTCAACTTCAATATTAATTGTTCATAACACATAAAAGGATTATATATCAATTGTTGATATCATATAAACAAGGGATTATTATAGCAATTGCATGGAGATATATAATTTATTAATTCGACACCCTAGGATAGTCCGATACCTTATTCATAACCTATAATCTGCTCATTCGGTAAGATTATATAAAAGCTAAAAGATTTATGTCATTTTCACAAATTGTGAGATTTTAATATCTACAAGAGAAAATACAACTTTAAAAAGCCAAATTACATATTCAAAAAAAATTTCAACTTCAAATCAACCTAATTTCAAACCATGATTTTAACCTAAGAAAAAGGTAGGCCATCATGAATCAGCTTTATATTTTTATTTTCTCTCTATCCAAGAAGCTCATCATAATCATGCTTGATCAATTTTTTACAGTTCAATTGAACATTGTTCTATCAGTTCTTCCAGTTTTGTCATTAAGTATACAACATATTCCAGCAACCAAGTAACTTAGTATCTGTACTTGGTAGAGTAATCTTTTGGTGCAATGACTAGACCCCGGCCTTTTCTGGCACCGCGATACACAGTCTCAACAATGTCGACAAATTCTTGTTTATCCTTAAGGGCCCAATTGATCTTGTTATTGTTCCCAGTGCCAAGATCAATCATAATGTGCTTGTTCCTGAAGAAGAACATGATGGTGGATGGATCATACAGCTCGTACATCGTGTTAAAATCAGGGACCTCGGTGATGTCAACCAGGTAAATCACAGCAAAGTTCTTGATTGTCTCTGCAACTGAAGACAGCACCTCGTCCATCTGGAGTCCAGAAAAAATACGGAATTAAAACTAAATTTTTACAAGGCAAAGAGTCTTAGATGCCTAAGAAAAGGCAGAAAAGCGTAGAGGTGTGCCATGATTTGAACATAGACGAGATCTGCAGCATTTGATATGCAAAATTATCGACGACACACTTGTTACTCCCCCTCCCACAAAGAAATGGAGGAAGCAGGATTACATCACCAACCTGTAATTGTGAACAAATTACCAGCCCACATCAAACAGCTCATGAAAGAGTAACAGACATATTGGTTTTGAGGTAAAGGTTAGTCATACCAGGACCACGGACTTACGACTCAAATTCCTGATAATGGCATTATGTGCAGGGAAGAGGAAATGTACTTCAAGAAAAATGTAGCCAATGAACCAATCACTCTTCTTTAAAAAAGCACTAATAATGCGAAATCAGTTCAAAGAAATGATTTCAGAATCTATCCACACAGGATGATCCGGAAAATTATAGTAGTGAGATGTGTGGCTCACTTCATTGCTGTTCTCACTTGTTTTTAGGATGTATTACGTTGGGCAAACATTGTTGGAAGATGTAATGTAGGATACATAGTCAAAATAAAACATGTAAGCATATCTTAGCATATTACCATTTATAGGTGGATGAGTGAGATGTTATGTTGCTAATTCTAGTCCTATATGATCATACTAGAGTGTCTTTCTGCTTGATTCTACATTTTTGTTGTTTCTACTTATTCTTTACTCAATTTTTTTCACCATGGCTTCTTCGCTACTGTATTTGTTTTACTTGAGCTGAGGGTCTATAGGAAACAACCTCTTCACCTTCGTAAGGTTAGCGGTAAGGTTGCATACACACCAACCTCCTTAGACCCCACTTGTGGGATTACATTGGGTATGTTGTTGTTGTTACTCCGAGCAACAACAAGATTTTGATCATCCCAGTTCATGATCTTCAGCCTCAATAGCAGCTTCTAGCACTTTTACTATCCTTGACTACGTTGTTCCATAATCCAATACCCAAACTTAATCAGTATACCTTATCACCCAATTCACCAAACAAGACCCTATAGATTAACTTCCAAAGAACCTATACTAAAAGTTAATAGATTGACAGGAAAAAAGTTTCAAGCTAAAATCACCAGTCCACCATTCTCATCAAAAGACAAAAATCACCTGTTCACCACAAAACCATTCAGTTTCCATTACACAATATCTCACTAGACATCTGATTTCGAAGATGGAAAACATATGTAAAACCTGCCTCAAATTCCGCAGGACTTAGATTACAGACTTATTCGCCACCTGTTGAATTACAAGCGTTTACAAGCTGCCTTTTTTTTTTTCTTTTATTACTAGTGCAGGGTAGCTATAAGCAAGAATCAACAACTCTCAAACAGCAAAGCTTCTTTTCTTTTTTCACAGGCAAAAACAATTTTGAATCACTTACAAAAGGAACCCAAAACAATACTCACACCAATGGCGGATGTACGTTTTAGGTACAGGTAAATCTATTTAATATGTACACATTATAAATATAGAACTCAGTAAGTCCAAAAGGCATTAGTTTAGAATCTATAAACATCAAATCCTGGATCCGCCTTTGTTAATACATACCACTTTCAACTCCACATCAAAATATGGCAAAATTAATTCTGCAGAACTTAATATAGCAATCAATCAACTACAACTCGACTACAAACTAACTAGGGATCGGTAGTGTGGGTCCTCTATACCCACATATATAAAGGATTCAGCATAATTAGCTAACATCTGGCCTACTGCAGCCCTCACCCTTTATCCGGACTTTGGACGGACCATGCCTTCCATACCTTAGTGCAGTTATATTCAGCATAAATAAGCAAATAAAAACTACTATCCCAACACTCTATTTCTCATCAAATATGACACAATCAGGTGATTCAACCCAATAAAAAAGTTGAATCAATAATCTTTTTCTGCCGTAATCAGTTAACCCAACAGGAACAACGAATTCATCAGACGTAGTGTTTCAAACGGACAAACAAGCCAGTCAAAGTTGTCCTTCCAAATAATCACCAATTAATCTAATCTGCTCCATTCTAGCCAATAAAGTTTCCTCTTTAATCAAGTCATCAATTTAAACGCTTCTATCTAATTCAAAACTAGTTCGAGTCTATTACATGAATCCTCTACAACTGCAAGATTCTTCTTTTCACTAATTACCCATTTCCAGTAATTTCCCATTTATATGTTCAAATGCTTATATCTAATTCCAAACAAGTCGTTGACTATATGAATCTTCTATATATGTTCCAAGATTCTTCTTTTAGCTAAAAACCAAACAAATTTCATATAAAAAAATTGTTCATACCATAGTAGTTGAGTCGACTATACGAATCCTCTATATCTATTCCAAGATTCTTCTTTTAGCTAAAAACCCAAATAAGAAAATTCGAAAAATTGACAATAAAAGGTTAATTGTAAGGTACCTGCATACAAGTATCATCCCAATCATGGCCAAATCGAATGATTACAAGGCGTTCTTCTTCAGCAAGAATAGCTTGATCCACTGCCCATCCAGAGTGAAGATGTGGCAACAAATACGACATTTTTATCTATTGCTGATTTGATTTTATGCTGAAAAAAAAAACAGAGAAGAAGCTGACACAGAGAGAGAAGGAGAGAAACAGAGTGATGAGAGGTCGATATGAATATTTTTACGGGTACCAAAAGTGCTACTCCTACGAGGGTCTCGAATGTGCTAGTACCCTTATTAGGGCTTGTTTCGTCGGAAACACGTTATCTCGAAATTAATTATGTTATTTACTTTTTAATGTGAGATATAAATAATATCACGATTTCGAAATAACTAACCATCATAGCAAACGAGTTCTTAAGGATGGTTTGCTAGGATTGATAAGGATCTGATAAAATATAGGATTATTTAATTTTGTATTTAATTAGATATTTAGATGTGTTTGTTAATCTAAAGATTATTTATTCCAATTTATGTACTATAATATGAAGGTGGACCTATATGTGAACATACACCTGTCAATTTCGGAAAAAAATATTTATATACGCGTATATCTATTTTGAGAAACTGACAGAAAGTAGAATATAATTAATCGTGCACCATGAGGAGCTGGTACAAGTTAGAGAAATCACTCACGAGACCAGGGTTTGAATCCAACTAGTGCCTTATTTCATTGGTTTTATTTTAAGTTTAATTTAAAGCTTATATTTGAGTCATTAATGACCAATCGAATACTACATTATCCGTTAATTATTATTGAAAATTTGCTATCGGGCTAAATTAAGATAATATTGATGCACCTCGATAATATTAAAGCATCCAAAGTCTTCAATCCTGAGTTGATCTCCGAGTCCATATGTACTATTTGATTAGGAGTATTAGTAAGTGGAAAATTATCTCTTTATTCAAAATTGAACTCATAGCTACATGTATGTATATATCTTTTTTTTACTTTTGTGTTGCAAATAATTGAGTTTAGTTCTTTAATGTCTTTTTGTTTAAATAGTTGACTTATGAGCGATTTTCTCTTTTTTCTCGTTGACTTATGAGTGATTTGCTCACTATTTCATTTTCCAAAAATCGCTCCACACTATGCGAGTTTGAAAGTTTTTTTTTTGTTATTCTCGTTGCACACTAAGCGAGTTCTCAACTTCTTTTATTATATGCCCTCATAGTAATCCCGTCATTAATTTTGAAAAAAATTATTATTAGGAAAAGAATGTGTTTTTTTTAAAGAGAAAT